GTCAATATGAAGGCAAGGTATTTATCAAACAATTTGTGCAGACATGAACTGCTGAATAGTAGTAGGCAATTCCTCAGTAAAACGTGAATGGCTATTCTATTCACCCTTCCAAGGTCGTTTGTACTGCCTTATACGTCGCCTATTGTCCAAGAAAGAATCTCCCTTTACTACATTGTGGTTCTATGCCTGGAAGCACAGCAATGTTATTGTAGAACTTGAAAATGGAGAAGAACATCGAAAGTGCATGACAGCATATTTGATAAGACATAAAGAAACTGGCAGTGTAGATTATTACTTTAGCAATATCGCCCACAGAAAGAATATTGGCATAAAGTGTTGACACGTGTGGTTTCTTTAATTCGCTTTCTTGCCACTAGAGGTTTGCCATTTCGTGGAGAAACTCGGATTATTGGGTCAGCAAAAATGACAACTATTTAGGTATACTAGAACTGCTAAGTGAACTTGACCTTTTCTTGGAAGAACATCTCGAAATGTATGGAAATCCTGGAAAAGGGAAACCATCATATTTATCTGCAATTATTTGTGAGGAAGTTATTGAGTTAACGGGACAACAGGTTCTTTGTACTATTCTTGAAGTATAAGAGTCAAAGTATTATTCAATTCATGTGTTACTCCAGACACAGATTAGAGAGAGACACTCCAGACACAGATTAGAGAGAGACACTCCAGACACAGATTAGAGAGAGACACTCCAGACACAGATTAGAGAGAGACACTCCAGACACAGATTAGAGAGAGACACTCCAGACACAGATTAGAGAGAGACACTCCAGACACACACAGATTAACTGATATTTAATGTCTGATACATTAAAGGCTGTGAACTTGTGGAACGTTTCTTAATGTTCATCCCCATCTTTTCTCGTGGAGCAAAAGATCTAACATACAGTGTCGTAGATTTTCTTAAAGAGAACAATATTCCCCTATCAAACTGTTGTGGTCAGTCATACGATAATGCCTCAAATATGTCTGGACTATATACAGGATTGCAAGCACGGATTCATCAACTCCATGAGTTTACCATCTATGTCCCCTGTGCTGGACACAGCCTGAACTTGGTGGGAGTAAAAGCAGCAGAGAGTTGTCATCAGACTAGCCCATCCTCCGAACAGACAGTGCATTATAATACTAAATGTCAATAGAGAGAGAGAGAGAGAAGATTAAGCCACCCAAAAGGTGGCTTGGGCATGAATAGCCCATAAGTGGTGGTCCTTTTGAGCCATTTCCAGTATCAATAGATGATACTGGAGATCTGTGGAGGTGCGACTGCACCCTGCGTGAAAGGGAGATGTCTCCTGTGAAATGTCAATAGTACATAAATACACTTATTTGATCCATTACATTTACCTCCTCATATCTTCTCCCGAATCCCGCACAACATCTTCAGGGAAAGAGTCAAGCATCTGTCTGACACACGATGGTCAGCACATTTTGATGTTGTTCATGCTCTGTATGGGGGGTTTCGAGAAAATAAAATATTCACTGAATTCTGTATCAGCTGACAATGAACAGCATGTGAACACAAGGTGAGAGGCAGGAGTGGAAAAAAATAAAACCTGGGAAACAATCTTACTCACAATTGTTTGGAATGACATGCTAGAAAGAATGAACAAAATAAACAAGGTCCCACAATCAAAGGACGTGAACATCCTTGTTGCCATGAATCTTCTTGAGTCTATGAAAACCTATCTTCAGGAAAATAGACAAATTTATTGAATATGAATTCAAAGTCAAGATTATGTGTCCAGATACAGATTACAGGGATGAGAAAAACCGGGAACGAAAATTGAAGTGTACGTCTCAGTTGATATGATGGATCTGCAGAAGGAGTACTTCTCATTAATAAAACCTAACAATTCTAGGTGTACACTTTCTTCCCTCTTCTGGACACTCTAATCTGTGAACTGACAAAATGTGCAGAGACTTATTCATAGATTGGAAATCAGCTTTCTTTATTCAGTGAATTGAAAACCATTGCTTCAGATGCACTAAAGAAAAAGTGTGAACATCTGGCTAACATCAATCACAAAAACCTAACTTCTGTTGCCCTTTGCAATGAATGTGAGCATCTCGAGCAATATATGGCTCTTGATGAAAATTGTGAGACACTTCCAGCTCTGTACAGAGAAATAAGTTCGGACAATTTTAAATCTTTATTCCTGAATGTTGAAATTGCACTCAGTGTTCATGTGCATGATGGTGACCAACTGTACAGGAGAGTATTCTTTTTCAAGACTGAAACTTATAACAAATCTGATTCGTAGCACAATGAGGCAGCGTCGTTTGAACTGGCTTTCACTCATGTGCATGCCACTAACAGCCTGAAGACCATTAACTTCTAGCCAATAATAGAGCAATTCTCTGATAAGAAATGCCACAAATGCTTGTTATAATAAGACGTTTATAGTAATTTCATTGCTGTGTTATCTAATCTGTATAGCTTACTGAGTATTATTGTGTTTTTCAAGCCTTGTGAATTGTTCAAATATTTATGTTGATCAGTGGCTGCTCCACAGCATTTTTGTAACGTTATAACACCAGTTTTGTTGAAATGCCAATAAAATAAATGTTTAATATTATCAACCATTTACTTTTTATTCCTGTGAAAGGTTGTCGTAGAGGCCAGTTACACATCCCGCTGCCTGAGTTGTGCTCGTGCCTGCAACACAGGGATAAAGTCACCCAGGCCTATCAAATTTTCATCATGTCTAAAAGGTCTGGGGCCAGATTCACAAAGCAGTTACACCTGGGGCCAGATTCACAAGGCAGTTACACCTGGGGCCAGATTCACAAGGCAGTTACACCTGGGGCCAGATTCACAAGGCAGTTACACCTGGGGCCAGATTCACAAGGCAGTTACACCTGGGGCCAGATTCACAAGGCAGTTACACCTGGGGCCAGATTCACAAGGCAGTTACACCTGGGGCCAGATTCACAAGGCAGTTACACCTGGGGCCAGATTCACGAAAGCACTTACACAAGCACTTACGAACGTGTACATCTTTCCTCAATCTTTGACGGCTTTGGTTACATTTATTAAACAGTTTACAAGCATGAAAACTTGCCAATCAACTGTTATTATTGTTATAAACAGCTTCCTGGTGCTTCGGAGCTCATTAACTGTTTAGTAATTGTAAACAAAGCCGCCAAAGATTGAGAAAAGATGTACAGGTTCGTAAGTGTTTGCGTAAGTGCTTTCGTGAATCTGGCCCCTGATCCCCAAACACCCTGTGATTGCATAGTGAGGCACCAGTTGCTTGTGAGGGGAGGACACAAACACGAGTAAAAAGTACAAACTTATAATATCAGAGCTTAAAAGTACAAAACTACTTTTACAATAAATATAGAACTACAAAAACTACTTATATACAAAAATCTCCACTGGTTAACAACTTAAAATTACAATATTATAAGTTCACTGTTTGGCTTCTTCGAGTATCATAATATGTAAATCTATCTGTGAGAACCAAGTAATTCTGTATTCGTAACAGGGTCCCCAACACACTGGTTTGCCCAGGGGCCCATAATTCTGTTAAGATATTAAGATAGGCCTGGTATAGGTGCCATGAATATAAACATTATATATCTTACATATAAATGAATATCGGCTCATAACACTACGAACCTAATCTTAAGTAACCTTAATCCTACAGCATATCTTAATCCTAACACCTCCGACCCCTGATCTTTATCTCCCTGACCTCACCTCTCCTTAACGTCTCTATATTTAACACCACAAACACCGCATATTTATTCCCTAAAGGAGGCCATAAACCATAAAATTGAGAATAATTTTCATGTCATTATTCATATCGACTCTAAATCTTCGCTCCAGACATTGTTATCCAGCCAGCACAGAGATAATATACAACTCATCACAGAAATCCAACATATAGGAAAAGAAGCCCATAATCTAGGGCTGTCAATCACCCTAAATTGGATACCAAGTCACTTTGGCATAGATGGTAATGAAAAGGCAGACTCACTAGCAAAAACTGCCACTGCTCTACCTGTTGTACAGGTTCAAATACCTCCAAATTTTTCACAGATTAAAGAGCAAATCAAGAAGAAAATACTCCCAACTATCAAAAGTCGCCACAGAGTCAAAGTAGAGGAAGGAAGATCCACTGCGATATGGTACGAACAAGCCACTGTGTACTACTCTTTCAAAACTGACAAAACATATCCAGAGACATTGCAGTAGCCATACATAGACTCAGACTTGGTTACAAGTGCTGCTGGGAGGTAATGAACCCAATAGTTAAAGAGTGTCACATCTGTGGAACAGAAGCAGAGGCGCCACTATTGCATTACTTACTGGAATGTGAAGCTACTGAACCCCTGCGCATCAAACTCAACATTAATCCAACAACAGCAGCTGCATTAGATGCACATTCCACCACGACTACAATGATTAGAAAAGCTGTTGAGGAATGGGACGCACTAGTGAGCATTCTGCATCTACATCCACCACCAAGATAATGTTATTAAAACAAGACTAAAACCAGTGCACTAAAACAGAACCGAAAAAGAAACAGGGAAAAAGGAGGAATCCCCACCTCCATTTAAAACTTTGACCCAAATATCACAGTAACAATGTTATAGCGAATAACCTAACTCAATTACGGGCTCACCATAGCCCGTGCTACATGGACATTTCGTTCTAAGTAGTTAAATCTAAAACAACAACAACAACAACATGCATATTTAAGGGCTTACTATAGCCCGTGCTACATGGCCACTTTGTTCTGATTAGCTAAATCTGGAATAACCTGCAAATTCCTTTAATCTGATGAAGCTGTTACAGTCAAATGTTATCTACGAATACTCTTCCGCTAATGTGGTCTGCTCTTGTCTTTGTATTTCTCTGCATTGGAACCTTTCATAACACACTGGTTGAACTAAATAAATCCAAAGCAGTTGTTTCCAACTTCTGGGAAGCTAACTTACCTGGTCTAATTACTTGCCTCCACTTTCAGTGCAGCAAAACTGTGGGCATTGAGTGGGCCCCAATTAGGGAGTGTTCCGAGAGTGAGGTTGGGTCTACTCTGCTCTACAAGAATGGCATTCGGACAGCGGAGCTGGAGCCGCCTGTACGTTTCATCCCAACAATTACTATCGATGGGGTAAGGAATGGGCATAGTACGTCTGTTTACCTGTTAAGTTCATTAAAAGAATATATAATAAAATATATGTAAGTGGATTTCTTTGTTTTACAAATTAGATTTTGAAATTCAAAGAATACAACTCTCTCAAACTATTGACGTGGATTTTAGAGCATTCTAGTAAAGAGTTTAACTTTGCTTTTTATATTTTAATAATTTTTATTTTGATAGACATTTCTTAACTGCAATTTCCTCCTCAGCACTACAATAACCACCAGTTGCGGAGCTCGCTCAAGGACCTGAAGAGTCAGGTCTGCAACATGTTCCAGGGGCCTCCACACCACAACTGCTCCGGAAATTAAATAACACGAAACTTTAGATAAACTTTAATCATTTGTATTATGATATATTAACTCCTTTTCGATTAGTTATTTACAATTCATTCTTGTTTCCTAGAATGCTAACTAAAAAATGCAATATTGCATATGCAATGTTGTTAATATTTCAGATACTTTAAGAATTACTCTTCTTATAAGTATGATTATGGAATGTTATTTTACACAAATTACTCGCCCCCTTCCTCCTAAGGTTTCCTAATGTAAAAAAAAAAAAAAAACGGTCAGTTTAAGGTGTCCTCTCCTAACCTACCAGAGGACCCAAAGCGGAAAACGGAACATCACGTCACTTTCGCGAACCGCTTCCATTTTCTAGTATGACCATTTTTGGCCTTATATAACGCATACGACCGAAAAGCGACGTTCTTTGAAGGAAGACAGGTTGAATTACTAAGTCTTAAAACCTTTAACATCACTAAATATTGTCATCAGTTTTGTATTTCTTTGTTAATCATCAATTACAGGTAGTATATAATCAGTATATTGTATACAGTAATTTACATATTGTATACTGTAGTCTACATAATGTATACAATAGTCTACATAATGTATTTAATGTGTAATTGTAAAATTGAGCATATTTGGAAGTTTAATTATTTAGGTGGTCGATTCCAACGAAACTAATAGGAATTAAAACAAATAAATTTTTGTGTATAATGAACATAGAGTACTATGATATATTTTATATCATAGTGAAGCTCGTGATTGAACTGTATACATCGTATTATGGCATTTAAAATATTTTATTTATTAACATTTACAATGAATTTTAACTAACAGCATGTCAAGTTTTATATTAAATAATCTAAGCAAATAATTGTGTTATACTTTGAAAGGTTATTAAACGTGATTTTTTATAATATTTTTTCTATCCTAGTTTTTGAAAAATATTCTACCCCCACCCCCATTTGGTGAGGTGGGGGGAAGGCCCCCTACCCTTTCTCGAGCCCTTTGCCGTTGTGAGGGGGCTCAGTTGGCGACTGCTGGAGTTTGATGCGCATTGAGACGGCTTGTCCTCTGTCCACCTCCAAAGGATACCTGATCAACCAGGCTGTGACTCATACGTCAGGCTGCGAGCAGCCGCGTCCAACAGCCTGGTTGATCAGTCCGGCAACCAGGAGGCCTGGTCGACTACCGGGCCGCGGGGACGCTAAGCCCCGGAAGCACCTCAAGGTAACCTCAAGGTAGGTGTCCTTTTTAAAACTTTCTGCTCCTGCTGCTGTCCTCTCCAATTATACTGGTAATTTTTTCCTCTTCCTCATGTTTCGTTTTTATTCCCCCTCTTCTCCTTTCAGATTGTTCCCTTCCTGCCGACTTTTTGTCATTCTTGAATGTTCTTTCTGATTCCTCCTTCTGTTTTGACGCCCGGGTGTTTGGGGAGGCACACACTCTCGCCGGTAAAACTGTGGTACCTGACGTCGTCGAGTGAAGGGGGGGAACGCTTTTATTGTCAGTCTTTGTCTTCGTTATTGAGCATGATCTTGAACTGGCGATTCTTATTGTGATGAATGCAGAATGTATATCCACAATGCATCCTTTGGGGCCCCCTAGGAGTGTCGGCTGTGTTATCTTCTAAATGTGGCTCCATGGTGGCTATAGGGGCTGGTTCGTGGATAATTTTTGTTTTAGTTTTTGTGCCTTTATCTGACCCTCCATTAACTTTTCAGACTCGTGGGGTAGGCGACCAGGCCTCCGAGTCGGACTGTGCTGGATGGCCGGGTACTGTACCTCCTGCTACTTTTGATCCTGACCGTGCTACTTTTCTGACTCTCCCGACTGACTGACTCACTCTCTCTGCTCCCCTCCCACCTCTGTGGCGGAGTTGAGCCCCAAGCCCCCAGTGATGACCTCCACGTCATCGGGCGTGACTCTGTCTCTCATTGCCACAACTCAGCCTTTTACCTCCCCTTATCAGGGGTGCTCGGTGCCGTCACCTCCGCACTAGCATGATTCCTTCTTAATCTTTTTCTTTCCAGGCCTTGTTTCGTCCTGCTACATGGACTAAGTATTTTGATTTAAGATCTGTTGACCCTACTCGTCCTCATGTTTTATTCCACGATACGTACCTTGTTGATTGTCATGACCTCCTGATTCACAGCATCGCTGGCCAACCAATGCCTGGCCAAGCTTCAATATGTGTCTAGGATAAAGTGAAAAATGCTGGTTAAAACAACGCCAGTTTACTGGGACATATAAACAGGTCACCATAGAACAATGAGAACTAATGTTCTCTATACAAAACTAGTATACAACTGATACTCTCATCACAACAAGGAGCTTTAACACAACTCTCGTAATCACATCAAGGGACTTAAAAACACAGCTATCGAAATCAGTCACAGGTATTAACCGCACACACTTGGGAACAGCTGAAACAAGACTCCAACCTGGCACAGTGGTACACTAACCCAAGTAACAGGTTGGTGGTGTCATATATAAATAAGTAGTGGGTGAGGAATCAGTACCATACACCACAATAACAAGCCTCTACGATCCTCAGATACCCCACAAAAGCTGAATGATCCTCTTATAACCCCTAAGACTCGTAGGGTGAGTGACCAGGCCCCCGAAACGGACTGTGTTGGAAGACGGGCTCTGTAGCCCCCGCTACATTTGGCCCAGACCAAGCTACTCCTTTGACCCTCATTACTATCCCCCTCCACTCCCCTCCCTCCTCTGCGGTAGGATTGAACCCCAGGCCCCCAAACCACATCATCACCAGGAGCGGCTACTTCTCTCATTGTGATAACTTCGCCTTTTACCCCACCCTCTCACTGGAAGTGCTCGGCGCCGACCCCCTCACAGATGCACTGGCACGATTTCTTCCTGTGCTAAAACGTTCCACCCCTTGTTTGGTCTTGATACATGTACTAAGTACTTTGATCTCAACCATCTGGATTTTACACGTCCTGACGATTTCTTCCTCAAGTCTACCCTGCCTGGCTACAGTTGTGGGAACCGACCTGTGAGATTTATATTTATTTAATTTATATGAATTTATATTTACGTTAATTTATATACTTCGATAGCAATTTGTATAATGATAAGTGGACTGTATTTCTGCAATAATCTCATAATCTCACAAATCGATCCTCTACACATTAGGGGGGTTTATTAAATTTATATATGCAGCCAATCAAACTACAGTAATAGACTACATACATTGAAGAGGTTCCTTATCTTATAGTACAGTAGGTTAGTCCACCAGGTATAACTAGGGTGTAGACACCAAATTATCCTCTTTGAGGTAGCTTCCATCACCCAGTAACTGATGCACAAAGCCTTGCTTCCTCGTCTTGACCTGTTAAAAGGGCGCTAGCTGTAAAGCCAGATACCTATATATGACAAGTATTTCAGAGAAAACACTATACATGGAACATGAAGACCTGGCTTAATTACCTTTAGTTTGAGGCGATTTCGTGATCTAACCGGATCACCCTACCCAATGACATTAATGGCCACTAATGATAGATATACGGGTTTCGGAAAGACACTTAACTTGAATTTGTTGACAGCGTGTGATAATGGTACACCTTTGGTTTCCATAACACTTCGTCCAAGTAAAATTAACAGGAGCCGAATTTGCTCCCTGCGCCTCTGGTCTCAATAATGTCTAACACTCCATACTATTGACGCTACTGGCCGACATTGTCCAGATATGATAGGAGCCGAATTTACTCCACACGTCTCGGAGGTGACACAACAATGGCTGTCTAACACTCCATACTATTGACGCTACTGGCCGACATTGTCCAGATATGATAGGAGCCAAATTTGCTCCACACGTCTCGGAGGTGACACAACAATGGCTGCCCCTCCTTCCTCCCTCTCACTGACGCCTGGCCTACATTGTCCAAATGTCAGAAAGTGATAGAAGGGTCACATTTACTCTACTTTAATATTGATAATTAAGTTAATTTATATGAGATGTTTTTCTGATGGTAAAGTCCAAAGACTAATGTATTTAAGAATAATTCCCAGCAGAATAGCTGGTGAATTTATAATGGTATGTGGTGATGATATCCCGTTTTCTTTAGACGGTAATTCCACTACAAGTTACGTTTTCTTTGGGTTAACTTGTTTATACAATACATCTATTATCTGTCTGTATGATATATTAAATGGTGTCGGATTTTCCAACAACAGTGAGGTGAATGAACCAGGGGCCGCGGAGTTTGGCAAGATGGCGAAGGACAAGCTGAACAAACCGGATATATCAATATATCCGGTTTATGGATATCTCCATAAACACCTCGTTGATTCTGTGGATGTCTTTGTTACTTTTCACCTCACCTGTTTTGGTACACATGTTGCTGCTCCTTCTCATGATGCAGCTACCCGCTTAGCCGCATTGTCCAGCATTGGGAAGACCCCTATTAGGGGTCTCCAAAATACCCGGTTAAATGCCAGTATTGGCACTGTTATCCTCCTGCACCATGTTGTGACTGGTGTTAGGGCCCTGAAAGACTGCCACGAGTATATTAAACATATCCTTGAAGCCCAAGGCCATTTTGTCCTCCAGGTTGATACGTTCACTCGACCCTTCTCATGGTCATCATTAGCCTCTTCGCATTGTAAAAATCACCTTTGATAGTAGGTTCCTTTCGCTTTCTATAATTCTTGTTGGTATCAGATGCTCCGTTCAGAAGAACATTTTCTCTCCTAGACTTTTTGCAATAATTGCTGGAAATTTGGGCATGGTGCCCTCAAATGCACAAGTGCAGTGTGTCTATGCCCCGAGTGTGGGGACTTGTCACTCTAAGACTGAGTGCTCGTCTTCCCAGGCTCACTGCCTCCATTGCACTGACGCCCACCCTACCTTGCCTCTTTATTGTTCTCTCTCCTTTTGACAATGTCTATTCTTCAATGGAATATTCGTGGATTTTATGCAAACTTCCATGAACTCCAACTTCTGATGACACAGTTTTCGCCCCTTTGTGTATGTCTCCAGGAGCCGATGCTTGGTGCTCGTCCTGGTCGCATTTGTGGTTATTCCTTTCTCCCCCCCTAGTTTTAGCTTTGGCCCATAACTCTACTGCTCTCTTAATTCGTACTGATATTCCCTTCGTCCCCCTAATTTTTCCGTTGCCTATCCGATATTCTCCCCCCAAATGTCCCACTTTCTCTTCTTGATCTAAAGCATCTGTTGGACTCCTTACAGGAGCCTGTGCTCCTGTTGGGTGATTTAAACTGTCGGCATACCCTCTAGGGTGATGCTCTGATGAACACCCGGGGCTGCCTTCTTGAACGATTTTTCCTCTTTCTTCTTTTGTTATCTGTCTCTTCTTAATTCTGGTGGACCCTCTCATGTGGACTCCTGCACTCGCACCCTCTCCTGTCTTGATCTTTCTTTCTGTTCGTCTTCTTTTTACTTAGATATCACTTGGCGGGTTCTTGATGACCTCCATAACAGTAACCATTTCCCCATCCTTTTTCTGTTTTTCACCCTCCCCTCTCCTTCCCTAGATGACAGTTTGCCAAGGCTGACTGGAATCTATTCTCTCTCCGACCTCTCCCTCAAGCCCTACTCTTTTATCAAGACACCAATTTAAACGCTGTCCTCCCCTCTATTCCTCGCTCTACCTACCGGGGTACACGGAAGTGCGTTCCCTGGTGGAATGCGGACTGTGCTTAGGCTGTCCACTGTAAGCGTGCAGCCTGGAAGAAACATCGACGCCGGCAGACGGATGATTCTTGTATTTTGTTTTGGAAGGCGAGTGTGATGGCCTGTAGGACCATCCGTACAGCTAAACGTGAGAGTTGGAAATCTTATGTCTCCACCATTACGTTCGGTACTCCTTTGCCGCAGATCTGGAAGAAAATCCGCGAGATAGCAGGTAAGTTTGTTCCAGATGTC